AAAACACAATGTCACCGTTAGCAACGAAGAATCCAGTGAGACTTTCCAGGTTGACGATGACAACCGCTTACTGGTCCAACGTTCAGAACTAACAAAAGCATATGGAAAATACACAGTAGATGTGGAAGGACAAGGTTGTATTTATTAGATGTGGAAGGGCAAGGTTTTGTATTTATTCAGGTAATGGAAGTCTACCTGAGAGGGAGAAGAATGTTGCCAGTAAAAAGGTCAGGCTATCAGTTCAGTTATATATGAGGTGCTATTTTACCGTTTTACATAATTCCATCATTATTTCTACTCATTCTCTCATTGATATGCTCTACTCAGTAGCTGAAAATGCAAATTATTTTATGAGGAGGTATTTAATCTTAAAGATAACTGGGCAACTGGGAAGTTTCTTGAGGAATGTCACCGTTTAAAATTATTCTGATGTTTTTATTAAATTATGTTGTTAAAGATTCATGTGTATTCTGAAAACTAAACAAATACATTTAGCCTTATTTCCTGATAAGTAGAGATATAAAATAAAGTACATTACTCATGTAAATAAGAGAAATAATAAGTCCTTCAGGTTTTACTACAGAAAAAGTGGATGGATTTTTTTTAATGATTTGTTATCTTTCCTAGGCTACCCTTAGATATAATGTGCTACCATCTGAGAAGGAATCTGGATTTTTCCTTTCCTTGGAAATGCTAAAGAAAAACTGTTCAGATAGACTCCAGAGTAGTAATTTTGAGCTGACAGTAACCGTCAAGTAAGTGTCCATTTTAATATCAACTCCCAGGTTAGTAGTCTCTGTGTCCTGGAACCCAGCTTCTCACAGTTGCCATATATATGAGAGTAGCAAAATAACAAAATATGAACGATAGTAACCAATGATGATTTTACTTGTTGGTGCATAATTTCTATAGCATAGTCACTTTATAGCTTTCTGTCTAGACACCACAATTTAGTACATTTTAAACTAAATCAGAGCTAGCATTATGCATATATAATTTATATTGTGTGCAAGTAAAATCTGCAAGCTTCTGACACACTAATACTGCAACAATGCTTCCTTCTTTTTTTGTATGGAAAAGCTGTCAGTTTTGGAGAATAGAGATACCACTTTTCCACCTAAAAACAAGCACAGGGAGACCTAGAGGACAAAACCTACAAAGGCTATTTAATAACTTACAGAGTAAAATTTCAGATTTTTCAGAGTAGGAAAGCAAAATAAGTATCTTAAAATGTAAAATGTAGACACCAAAGAGTTTTAACCTTAGTTAATATATGAAGAAACACTGGGAAAAATTAGTTTGAAGGATTTTCTTAGGATTTCCAAATGATAATGTCATGAACACCAGAGCTAAAATAAGAACAAAATACATTGTAAGACTCTTAACTTCATGTCCCAACAACCCTCTACAGTGTTAAGAACACAGCCTAGATCTCTTAGGGACATGTCTATGATTCTACCAGTATCTCACTTTCTAAACAAAGATTTTCTTTAAGTTTTGTCCAAATCTAAGGCTACTATCAGCATATATAATATCAATTTACAAGCGTTGTTTATAAGTTCTGTCTTTGAGACTTCAGGTAATCTTAAAAACAGGGTTTGGTTAGATTCTAGTTTCAAATAATTCATTATTTACTCCAACTGATGTTGCTTTGTCTCGTCTCATCCATTATCATTCTAGTTATGCCTATTCTAAGGAGTTTAGGAGTGACTTTCTGGCCCAGCTGATGTGGCTCAGTGGTTGAGTATTGACTCATGAACCAATAGGTCACCAGTTCAATTCCCACTTGGGGCACATTCCTGGGTTGCAAACTAGATCCCCAGTAGGGACATGCAGGAGGCAGCCGATTGATGTTTTTCTCATTGATGTTTCTATCTCTCTATCCCTCTCTCTTCCCCTCTCTCTCTAAAATTAGTAAAGACATATTTTTAAAAATTAAATAAATAAAAAGAATGACTTTTATCAGGTGTTTTTTTTCTTCAGCTGTACCTTTCCTCCAGACCTATGGCTAATTAGTATGTTTGTACCCACAACACTTTTCTAAACTGATGTCTACAATGCGCTTTGTTTTAAATTTCAGATACATAGGAATGCGCAATATCTCCAAAATGGCCCTTGTTGATGTAAAAATGCTCTCAGGATTTACTCCAGTCATGTCATGCACTGAGGAGGTAAATAACAGAAGTCCAATCTTTCAGCACAGGAAAAGCAATAGTGTATAGGAGAAATAACTGGTTAGCGAAACCAAGCTGTGGAATTCTTCATTTAAACAAATTTATTCATAGTTCACATTTTCATTTTTGTTGTAACAGTGGAGGGGGGGTGTTATTAACTTCTAGCAATTAACAGACTTTATTTTTCATAGCTTATAATCTATTTCTTACTTTAATTCAGCTATGCTTAACCGTGGAGGGGTGGTGTTATTAACTTATAGCAATTAACAGACATTATTTTTCATAGTTTATAATCTATTTCTTACTTTAATTCTGCTATGCTTATGCAAACATAATGGCACAAGAGAACATTCCATAATATGGGTTCCTGACAATTGGTTAAATAAGAATTATAAAGTATTCAATTCCAGAATAATACTCTTTAATATTTATTCCCCATCCTTCCCTGACAATTTCTTCAAAGCTTGAAAAAAATGGCCAAGTGATGAAGACTGAAGTCAAGAATAACCATGTTCTTTTCTACTTGGAAAACGTAAGTTGAGCAATAATTTTTCCCATGGTTTGTTCTTTTTTTTCTTCTGAGTGTAATTGGATGAGTCTATTTCTTGTAGATATACATGACAGGGTTTCTCAAAAAATACGGGACATTAAAGATTATCAGTGGTCTTCTATCCCAGTGCTCATCTTAACCCTGTTAACGCTAATGTTATTTCATGTGTCTTGACTGCCTGACTAGGTAATTCTCAAGTTTAGAAACATCATTTCCCTGTTTTTCACTCCTCATGGCATCTAACATAGTCTGGTCACAGAGTAGATGTATAATTCTTTTATAGTTTTGACTTGAACGCCAGTGAAGGTGGCATGAGTTCTAGAATCATTCTTTCTATGTGTATATTATTACCATTCACATGAGTGCCTACATTATTGCTTTCAACTAAATTTCTCGTGCACCTCAATATAAGCAGTGGAACTTAAATTTATATACAACTTAATGTTACCTAATTATTTAAGATTAAGTTATTACATAAAATTATATAAGATATTAATACTCTGGATCTATTTAATTGGGTAGATCATGAACTCTTGGAAATATTTTCTCAGTGATTTTGTTTCCGAATCTACTCTG